TTTACATACATGTGAATTAATAACAAGCGTTGCATCCTACTTGTTCTAACATTACAATTTGACTATTTTTTGGAACTAAGAGAGGATTGATATACTGGTTTAATTGCATTTTCAACAAGACAAAATATAATTAATCTTAAATTAAAACAAACAATCAAAAATAAATTTTAAATATGTTACTCTATATTTTTATCAATATCAGCTACCATTATTACTTCATCTTAATTTTGTTAAAGATAGCAACATAAATAAAAAATTATTTTCCTTAACCCATATCAAAAACATAAAATAACAAAGAAATAAAAATCATCACAAATATCAAATTAACAACAAAAGATCTACAAAATCAAGAGATATTAAAGAGTAAATATAAAAAGCTTTTAAATAAATATACCTTTTAATTTCAGCTAATTGACACAACCGATGTTAGTAATTAACTAAAAAATAATTGATTCTTGTTTTTCTAAATTTGAGAGAAGATTGAGGTACAAAACAAGATTTTTTTTTTTAAAAAATAAGTTTCTTTCCTTAATTTTAAAGAACAAACAAACAATGTTGACCAACGGCTATAAAAATAGTCATTGGCAACGTTAATAAAATTTTGGCTATTCTACAAAAACTTGTAGAAATAGCTCTTTCTAAATTGAAAAGCCATTTTACCTTTTATTGTTGCCTACTCTATTGTAATGATCAAATAAGAAAATAAAAGTTAAAAGGATATGTTTTTTAATTTGCCTTTCCATTTACATCTTTGGTTGGAGATCCTCTAAAAATAAAATAGTATTCAAGTAAAGAATGCTATGAGAGGAGACTAGAAATGAATTTCAATCCTCAATTAGTCTATTTTAATTTAGCTCAATTCAATCATGTTAACTTAATGGTATTGTTTTAATAAATAAATAAAAAAATAACTCATGGACCTATAAATTAATTAAATCAATTTATAACCTGAATTTTAAATCTATTCATATTGCAAATCAAGTTTTATAATTATGATCTAAACTCTCATGCCACAAATGCTTAGTGATAATGGCATTATTATTATTATTATTATTATTATACAGTAATGACTTGAAAAACATAGAAACTCCAACGCTTAAGAAAAGAGATTAACTTGTATTTAAATAAGAGGAGATACAATTGCCATTAACATGGAGTATAAGTGGGTGTTCAATCCATGGAGGGAGCATACAGGTAAATTTCAAAATAAAATATGCTACAGCAATAAAATTAACAGAGCCAATATATCAAGCCCCATACGTTACCTGCAATTAAACTCAAACTTCTTTTTTTTTTTTAACCTTGCTAAGTAATGTTAAAGAGTATTAAATATTTCATATTTTACCATAATTTTAGGATTACATGTTTTGGTATTTATTTTTGAAATTATTAAATGGGAATCTCATCACATTCAATTGATATAATTGCAATTCTGTAATGAAATAAATAATCACATTCATGATCATATAATTATCATTATGGAATCAAAAAAATAATAAATTAAGAAATAATCTTAGCAGTGGATTGATTTGGTAAGTTGATCCGAGATCTTAACTAATCCAAGTTTTAAAAAAAAAAGTGATTAGGTAAAAAATTAATCATTAATCCATTGATTTTTTTTATTAAAATGATATCGTTTTGATTTTTTAAAAAAAAATTAAATGATTAAAATTAACCCGGATAAATTATTTCATTATGTAATCTAAACTCAAAAATATATTTCATTAAAATTCATCATAAATCATTCTAATTTTAATTTTTATGATGCTTTTGATTTTGATGATGACACTCCTATGTTCGCTTTTCAAGTTGTTACTGCTATGGTTGCTGAAGAAGAATCGAATAATCAAGGGTAGAGAACAGTATATCGTGGCTCTATTCCTAGCCACAACATTGTCAATCGTAATAAAAAGGAAGGTGAGTTAAGGTTATATAATGATTATTTAACTAAAAATCTTAAATTCACTAAAACTCAATTTCGAAGAAGATTTAAGATGAGTCGTCGTCTTTTTTTCGGATCGCAAATGCAATAGAAGCTCATAATCCATATTTCAAATAAAGGACATATGCTCTTGATGTTCTTGATTTATCTTGTCTTCGGAAGGTAACTGTAGCTCACAGAATACTTGCATA